GGATCCAAATCTGAGCAAGGCGTAGGGTGTGCTGTATTTATAGAAGACGAGAAAGTGTCTCTAAAGTATAAACTGGATCCCATCTGCTCTATATTCACCGCTGAGCTAGCAGCCATAGATCTGGCTCTTGAGTGGGTAGTCTGCAATCGTCCGTCATACCAAAAATTCATTATTATGTCAGACTCACAATCAGCTATACGCGCATTACAAAATGCGCCTTTTCACATATACCACAACAAAACCATCGTCTCAATACTGGAGAAGGAGTCTCAATTAAGACAACTAAGGAAATCGGTGGCATTTATATGGATAAAAGGTCATGCAAGAATTGAGGGGAATGAAATGGCAGATCGACTGGCTAAGGTAGCCGCCTCGTCCGGAGAAGAAAAACAATACGTAACTAAAACTGACATAGCCTCGTCGAGGAAGCTTAATATGAAAAAGAGCTGGCAATGGAATGGACTAATTTCTGTACCAACAATAATAACCAATACTGCAAAATTTATCCAAACCTCCCTGACTCCCCAATAGAGTTCAGAAGCCACGTCAATAGGAGAGTACACTCAATGTACTTCAGATGTTTGGTCGGACATGCTACAGTAAAAGCTTACCTGCACCGCTTTGGTCTCGAAGAATCGGATACATGTAGCTGTGATGGGAATAGGGATGATATCAATCATTGGTTGTTCCAATGCAAATTCAACTCAACCGCTTCAGTTTATATGATGAGTGAGCTGGCTACACTTGGTGTTCCATTTCCTCAAAGTCAAACCTCCCTTCTGTATTCAAGCACTCACAATTCATCAATTCGAAAAACTCTATGGGATTTCTTCAAGAGAGCCAGACGGAAAATATAATTAACGAGTTACACGAATTTAGAATTCAGTGAGATTGTCGTGTGACTTGAGTTATTTTTACCTGTGTTTTTGCCTATCTGTTATTAAACCTACCAACCGTTGCCTGTGTTGTCTGTCTTTAAAGTCGTCATGACCGGCACCTTGACGTGAAACGTGTATCCCCGTTCCTCCCTAATCTTGGTTCTTCTATTATAATTTCCTGGTTTTGAGTAGGGCCCTGTTACCTGTATGTATGTGGATCTATACAATATTGCTAGCAGCGGATCTACATGTTTTATTATAAATTTGAGCATGTTTATATCATTCTCGTGGCCGAATAGGCTAGAACTCCTAAGGCCAGTAATAAAAAAAAAAAAAAAAAAAAATTTTTAATATACAGCTGCTGGATTTTCTGTCTTATTTAAATAATTTAATTTTGCCCACAGATGACTGATGCCATGTCCGAATCTAAAAAGATATGTAGACAGTACAGTATTGATTATTTGAAATTTGGCTTCATTCCATCATTGCCGGGCAAACAATCGCCTATGTGCCTTTTATGCTCGTTACTTATAGCAAAATCCGGAAAAACCGCATACTATCGGAGAGAAGTTAATTTTGCCAGCCGTTGAAGTGGTTTTAAAAACTGTTTTACACAAACCTGCTTCTGATATCATTAAAAGAATTCCCTTAAGCAACAATACTGTTGAAAGACGTATAAATGAAATGACTTCTGATATTGAAAGCTTCTTATGTAATTGTTTGCAAACCACCCATTTCTCTATACAACTGGACGAGTCAACTTTACTTGATAATGCAGCATTATTATTGGCATATGTTCGTTTTATTATGAATCAAGAAATCTACGAAGAACTGCTCTTCGCAAGAACTTTGATAACCGACACTAAAGGTGAATCAATATTTCATGTTTTGAAGGATTACTTCATTGAAAAAGCAATTCCTTTATCAAATATAATATCAGTAGCTACAGATGGATCACCTGCCATGGATGGACGTTATCGTGGATTTATAAGCTATTTAAAACAAAATGTGTCAGGGGTGTTAGCAATACATTACGTCATCCATCGACAACATTTAGTTGCTAAAAATTTGAGTGTTAGATTGCATGAATCACTTCATTTAGTCATTGATGCAGTAAACCGAATCCGAAGCAACGCGTTGAATACGCGGTTATTTGCGCAGTTGTGTGAAGAAAATGACGAACACTTTCATCAATTACTCCTTCACACTGAAGTACGCTGGCTGTCGAAAGGCTTATGTTTGACAAGATTTTTTGCACTTTTTGAGACTATTTTAGAATTTCTGGATACTAAAGATAAAATTTTAAAAGAAAATTTAATGAAGAGGAAAACTGACATCGCCTATTTAACAGATTTGTTTACAAAATTTAATATGGTTAATTGGCAATTACAAGGCGACAGTTTAAATTTGATTAAAACAAAGTCCATCTTATCAGCGTTTCTTGCCAGAGTTAAACTAATAAAGCAAAATATTGGACGCGGCGAATTTTCTCAGTTCCCCAATTTGTCACAGACAAGCTGCCAGGAAGACGACGTTTCAACTTACGTTCAACATTTAAATGCCCTCTATTCAGATTTTGAATCTAGGTTTGAGGATATTTTGACTATGGTAATACCACCGTGGATAATTAATCCATATGGTGACGTAGAAGAAACTAATGTCATAATACAAGAGGAACTGACTGAACTAAGTACAAACGAAGAACTTAAGGTTCAGTTTAAAAACGGATATCAGCAATTCTGGCTGCAAAACAACATACCCGTTACTTATCCCGTATTATGGAATATAGCGAGGAAATTTTTAATTTCCTTCCCATTGTCATACCTAGTGCAAGGGGTTTCAGCGCTGTTACCAATCTCCTAACGAAAAAAAGAAACAGACTGGACATCATTAGCCGAGGAGATTTAAGTTTAACCCTTACAAAATTGACGCCAAATGTTGATAATTTATTATTAAAGCATCAGGTTCATCCTTCTCACTAAAAATATTGACTTATTGCTTATGTTATTTTATTTATAGTTTATTTTATGTTTATTGGTGTCTGACCAATAAATGCCCGCATTGGGAATAAGTGCCCGCATTGATTTTTTTAAAGAACCCCCTTTATAGAAAATATTTTTGTTTAAATTATTCTGAAAATTCAAGGATAGGTACACACTAAAATTCATTAATTTTTTGCCTATTTTTAGATAACTTAAACGTATAAGAAGCGGAATTTAATCAAACTAACAGTGAAATTATTGTAGAACATACGTTTATGTTAATAAACGAACTCGCTTATTGTACTACTCGTATTTTAAGTGAAAAACTTCTTTTATTTTTCACTTTTTTTTATTTTGTCCCTCTTATTTTTTTTCATTGCGGGCACTTATTCCCAATGCGAGCACTTATTGGTCAGATACCTGTTTATTTAATGTTACGTATATTTTACATAACAGATACAAACTTTTATTTTGAGTAGTTTTAATTTAAATTCAATTAATAAATGTATAAATTAACATGTGTTTCTACTTTAAGTTTTCAACACTAAACTTCTCTACAGTTAGAAATTTACAGGAAATCAATATCAGGTAAGTAGGGGGTCTACCCAATACGGAAAAACATGGCAAGGGGTCTACGACATAAAAAAGGTTCTGATCTAAACTATCTAACGCTTTAGAGAAATCAGTATATATTACATCCGTTTGAAGTTGTCTTTCGATTGATTCACAAACATATTGAGTAAGATGTAGCAAATTAATTTAATTTAATAATTAACTGTGGACCTGCCCTTCATGAAACCGTGTTGACTGATGGAGATAGACCTGCTTACATGGAAACATAGCACAGTTTAAAATGTTCTTTTACTGGCAATAATTCCACTTTGTCAAAATATGAGTACCAAACAATCTCCAAAAACTGTTCCTTATCTTTGATCTAGATGAAAGATTGTTTTCTGAGTAAATCGGATGCGTCAATTCAGTAGGATTTACGGATGACTAGGATTTTACCAATTTTTCATCCCAAATCCAGTCCGATGACACTTCACACACCCGTATAATACAATCAATTTGAAGCTCGTATTACACAGTAATTCAAATTTACCTGCTTAATCAGCCCGGAAGTACAATTGACGCTACCGCATTCAATAGATAAGAGTAGGGCTTTTGTATGTTCCTATCTAAAACAAAATAGATAAGTTTTATCCTGAAAATCTGATGACAATTTTCCCACGCCTACCCGTCGCATTGTAAATTCATGAATGATATATCGATCCGGACTAAAAGCTCAATAAAAATCTATTACTAATCAGGTAAATAGTCCATCAAGTGAAATATAATCACACTTCTTACCCTGCTTGATGCAACAATACTATTATTTCTAAAATCAAGAAAAAGCCAAGATTATGGAAACAGTGTAAAAGAACTTGTAATCCTGTTGACTGTGACGCTTTTCGAAATCTTCGAAGAAATATAAAAATTAGCATTGATATTGCATTCCAAAGGTATACCACTAAAATTGAACAGGGCATAGCTAGTAACCCTGAAAGATTTTGGTCTTTCATTGATTCTTTGAAAAATACTTCTCATATCCCTGATGAACTTAACAAACCACAAGTTATTGTCAACGCTTTTGCAAATTTTTTCCGGTCCACATACTCACCTTCCATAAACTTTACATCCGCAAACTCACCTGACTGCGCCTCATTACCCTTGAATATACCAATAATTACTGAGAAACAGGTTGTTGCCGCTTTGAAAAAGATTAAACCCAATGTATCTTCCACTCCAGATCTAATCCCTGCATTTGGCTATGCTTTTGTTTTAACTGAGCCTTCAGCACATCTCTTAGTACTCGTACTACAACATTTCCCATGGCTTGGAAAACATCTAGGATTGCTCCCATATTTAAAAAAGACGAACGTTGCGTCATTGAGAATTATAGAGCTGTTGTGATCATAAGCAACGTTGGTAAGGTTTTCGAATGTATATTGCATGATATAATTTTCTCCCAAGTTAAGCACGAAATTTCTCCAAATCAACATGTTTTTTTCCAAGGCAGATCTACCTTAACTAATCTAGCGTGCTTTAAACAGTTTTGCTCTAATGTTGCTGATGAAGGGGGGCAAGTAGATGTTGCTTACGTTGACTTTTCAAAGGCTTTTGATAAGCTAGATCACGGTATTTTGTTAAAGAAATTAGCTACGCGAGGGTTGACACATCAATTCTTGAATTTTTCCAAATCTTATCTTACAAACAGATGCTTGAAAGGCGAATACAGGGGCTTCACCTCCACTCAGATTATACCTTCTTCCAGCGTACCTCAAGGGTCTGCTCTTGGCCCTTTGCTTTTCCAAATTTTCATTGATAACGTCATTAGGGAGCTACACAGTAGCTGTCTTCTATATGCAAATGACTTGAAGATTTTTTGTAAGATTGACACCATGGACGACTGTAATATATTGCAAAACGACTTGAGCAACCTAAATAAGTGGTGTCACCGTAACAAGCTGTACCTTAATGCTGATAAATGCTACACTATGTCTATTACGCGGAAACTTGATCCAATCAGATTTTTATATATATATATATATATAACTTGAGACGTGGTCATTGTCGTCTAGACCAGTTAGGTGAAAAATTAAAGCTTCCGCCTTTTGTTGGGTACTTCGACCAAAAATTTTAAGCAAAGAGGTCTCTTTATACTTTTTTTATTCTCTCTAGCTTTCAATGGACTTTGCCATCATCATCAGGAGCTGCAATTACATTGATAACAGTAGCAACAATAGTGTAAAATGAATTTAAATTAACTTAACTTACAGTAGTATGTGAGGATGTTGCTAATTGTTGTTTACGTTCAGGATGAGGGAAGCACCCAGTATCATGGTGAAAGCTGGATAAATGGTACGATGGTCAAAATGATATAAAATACACACAACTGTGTGACAAGAACAAGTTAAAAACAGATTAAAAATTTTTAGAACATGAAAGCATTACATCGTGAAGCCACTTGATGATTGCACAAAATGGTGGGCATGGAATAATGAGTAAGATGAACCCTTTGACAGATGGCCGAAGGTCGTCAGTGTCTGTGTAAATTTAAATTCATTTTACACTATTGTTGCTACTGTTATCAATGTAATTGCAGCTTCTGATGATGATGGCAAAGTCCATTGAAAATTAGGGAGAATAAAAAAGTACAAAGAGTCCTCTTTGCTTAAAATTTTTGTCGAAGTACCCAACAAAAGGTGGAAGCTTTAATTTTTCACCTATACATATATATCTTGAGACGTGGTCATTGTCGTCTAGACCAGTTAGGTGAAAAATTAAAGCTTCCGCCTTTTGTTGGGTACTTCGACAAAATTTAAGCAAAGAGGACTCTTTATACTTTTTTTAATTCTCTCTAGCTTTCAATGGACTTTGCCATCATCATCAGGAGCTGCAATTACAATGATAACAGTAGCAACAATAGTGTAAAATGAATTTAAATTGACTTAACTTACAGTAGTATGTGAGGATGTTGCTAATTGTTGTTTACGTATAGGATGAGGGAAACGCCCAGTAACATGGTGAAAGCTGGATAGATGGTACAATGGTCAAAATTATATAAAATATGACAAGAACAAGTTAAAAACAGATCAAATTCTTTTTTAAAAACATGAAAGCATTACATCGTGAAGCCACTTGATGATTGCACAAAATGGTGGTCATGGAATAATGAGTGAGATGAACCCTTTGACAGAAGGCCGAAGGTTGTCAATGTCTGTGTAGAAAGATGGAACGAATTGTGGGCGGGTGCCAACGTTGCCAAATCACTTCAGATGATGTGATTTTCAGAATGTTATGTAAGAAATTGTTAAACCGACCAGAGGCAGTTGAATTAACTATATTTTAATTAATGGCAAATTAAATTAACAATTATTATTAAATCGTGAGAAGAAAATTATTAGAATTTGAGTGGAATGAAGTTTATTGGTGGAATCGACCAAGAAACAGATTCCATTTATGATATATATATATATATATATATATATATATATATATATATATATATATATATATATCACTGATAATTCGCAACTTAACATGTGTGAAGAGTTTAATAACTTAGGTATATTCTTTGATACCAAACTTACATTTGTTTCTCATATTGATGCTGTTCTCAGCAAGTATAAAAGTTTGGGCTTTTCAATAATGTGTATACCGTGATTTCGTTTTATAATTCATTTGTTTGATCCAAAATTGAATACTGCTCTATAACATGGTATCCTGTTCATGAAGTTCACTCGAATAAAATTGAACGTATTCAGAAGCGGTTTGTGAAATATTTGTGGCACAAGGAAGATGGTACGTATCCAGAAGTTGGCTTCAGGCGTGATGTATTACTTAGCAGACATAACCTATGTAACTTGGATAAACGCAGAAACTATGCTGCTTGTGTATTTTTACATAAAATGCTTAATAATTAGATCGCGAATATTAACTGGGTAAACTTCTTATTCATGTACCTAATGCTAAGACGCGATCCGATTCCAAATACTTTTACTTAAACGTAGCTAGAACCAATGCGTTGCTTTCCTCTCCGATATATACTAAGTGACATATAAATCCGAACACGCAGTTTAAATGGTTTTATTTTAATAAAATTTTGTATAAATACTTAATGAAGCATAATAAGTAAATGATAAAAATCTCAAAATGATTGCACTGCTTTAAAGCCCTTTGACCTTTAATAATGTGTGGATGTACCCTGATGTGCTACGCATTCTCCAACGCGCCTAGGCATGCTTCTGATCAGGTGGTCAATGTCCTCCTGTGGTATCTCATTCCAGGCAACCACCAACTCCTCTCGAAGTGCTTCTAGAGTCTGAGGAGGACGTTGCAAATTGAGCAATCTCCTACCCATCATATCCCACAGGTGCTCAATTGGGGATAAGTCGCGAGATCTTGGTGGCCATGGTAACAATGTGACAACATTATGTTGAAAGAAGTCCATTGTGACTCTTGCAACATGTGGTCGAGCATTATCTTGTTGGAAAGTTGGATCTGCCAGGGTGTCAAGATAGGGTAAAAGATGGGGTTCTAGAACTTCGTGGATATAACGCTGCGCGTTCATGTTACCTCTGATGAAGATTAAAGGTGACCTGGAACCATAAGCTATAGCACCCCAAACCATAACTCCAACAGTGTGATGAACATGTCTTTCAACAAAAAACTGTGGATTCCTCCTTTCACCACGTCGCCTTCTAACCCTGGCACGACCATCGTGCATGCCTAAACAAAATCGAGACTCGTCACTAAAGACAATAATACTGTTCCATTCCTGATCCCAGAGTGACCGTTGTCTGCACCACTCTAGGCGATTACGTCGGTGTTCTCGAGTTAAAGGGAGGACCCAGTGTGGCTGGTATGAAAACAAGCCAAAACTTCTCATTCGTCGGTAAACACTTCGCATGCCTTTAGGTCTTCCGTGTTCTGCAAACCATTCATTTGCAATGGACCTGGTAGTGGAGAAACGGTCCCTTAAGGCGAATAATCTTAGGCGGCGATCTTCACGGTCTGTTGTTCTACGGCGGCGTCCAGTGCCCCTTGCTCTTTGCGTACGGCCTTCTCGAAGCCATGCCTGACAACACCTAATCACTGTGTCTACACTTCTTTGCACTCTAACTGCAATTGCCCGAAAAGAAAGTCCAGCTTCCCGAAGTCCCACTATACGGCCCCTACCAAACTCACTAAGTTGACGAAATCGTACAGGTCTCCGTGCTCTAGGCATCGTAACCGATCGTAAAGGATGTCAAGAACCAAAATCCGCCAACGTTGATTCTTTACTGCGGCTGAAATATTCATTTGTAGAGCGTTAGTGAATTAAAAAAAGCAGTATAAAAACCAGAATGTCCAATTGATAAGGCTGAAAATTTTTTTCACTTGTTATTTACAGTAAGATAAATACATTCACCAACTTTTATTAAAATAAAACCATTTGAACTGGGTGTTCGGATTTATATGTCACTTAGTATATGTAGTATGTAACAACTATGAACGTGCAAGAAGCGCTGTAGATTTGTTCTTTTGTAATTTGCGTAGCTTAAAAGGATTAACAGTAGGTTAAGTCATTTGGCAATTTTAAGTTATTTTAGAACAATTTTGTCTTAAAATTGATTCCTGTGTCCCTATTCGTTAAATGGTGTAATAAACCGTTCGGCTAGAGTAATACTAGTAAATAGATAAATAAAAAAAAAACAATCTTCATGAGTCGTATTGCACTTTCACCTTCTAAAGCCCCATTATTTTTTGTCGCTTTTTTGTGCTTTGGTGTAATTTTTGACACATCATTTGACGTTAAGTTTCAGCAATAATCAGAATCATATACAATTATGTTCAACTTAAAACTTAGACGTAATCAGATTAAATCATACCCAAATACTTTAGTTTTTCTCAAGAATATTTTTTTACACAGAAGCCTAAATGCCAGAATACCGCGGCAGCTAAGAGGATCCCCAAGAAATTTTGCTATTCCGATTTTTGAATTGCCTAAAGTTAGTACAACTGGGAAAAGTCTCCTCCTGTAGATTGTCCCACAATCGGTCAGCCCGCCTCTGGACAGCATCGAGCATAAATAATGTAGTCGGGACGGCAGCACCACAAACGTGTGAGCGGTTTTTGCACCCCTCCATCACCTTACTTATAACAGAAAGCAGAGCTATGAGCCTGTAGTTGTAAGGATCGGTCTTAGATCCCTTTTTTGTATAGGATAAAATGCTTAAAGGATTTTTTAAAATGCCCAAAGCCTCTAGCTATCAAACATTATTTTGCAGAACCATAGCATGTTAAACAAGCTTGTGACTCAAGTGCATGTTTTTTCTTATTTATTCTTAGCAGTTTATTGTACACCAATGTCTGCCTTGGCCAATATTCAGTCCGCGTCTTAAGAACACAAGTAACATGAACACATTGCCTGTCAAACCTGAAGAGAATACTAATTGCTACTGCTACTTTTTCCAAGTAATATTTGTTATTCCCCGCAATTCGTATTCCTAGATGTAGTTGATTTAGTAAGTGGTGATATTGATAGGCTATGGCCAGGCAACGATTTTTTTCTACATTGTGTGCAATATAAAATTTGCATAGTGCCTTTCCATAATTTAGCGCGTACTCTCCACTGTACAGGGCGTCCACTCCAAGAAGAGTTACGGTTTTCGGAATACTGCGATCCGTTTCTGTGATACAGGGCGAAATTGAAAATATTACTTTTTGGCATATCTCCGTTATTCTTTAACATATCGCAGAGCTAAAAACTGGACCTTAAACAGTTTTTTACGCCAAATACAGTGGCGTAGTCAAAATTTTGCTATGAGCTGTCAGTTTTTAGCTATAAATCAAACTTATTTTTTTAATTTTTGAAAATTTTATGAGCTTTACAGAAATATAAACCATGATATGTATTTTAAATAATAAATCAAAAATTTCACAAAATGTCCATATGCCTACGTATTATCATAGTGTGTATTTATATAGTATTAGTAGGTCTTGACTTTGTTACCTACTTGTATATACATATCATTTTTTATAGCATATCACAGACACGTACATGTTAAAAAAGCTAACGGATAATAAAACTAAACAAAACTTGTAATATTTGATCTGAATATTAACATAAAATTGACCTCGATTTGACCCCTTAATAGACTTTTGCATTAAAGGAACTGCTCAAAATACTTGCCATTTCCTCGAACGTAATGTAATCATAGGGTGGTTGGTCATTCTTTTTAAAGCATTTAAAACAATTATGACCGAGGCCTAAATTTGTTTAATTCAGGAAAATATTAAAAGACCAGGTTGCTTTCTTTGTGGATATCTGTAAATTAAAATGATATTAAAAAAATAAACCCACATATACAGGGTGTCCCGAAAAAAGGGTGCAATATTGTACCAGCGGTTTCTAGAGCGTAAAATAGGAAGAAAAATTTATATAAACATAGGTCGACAAACGTCCCCTAAGGGCCCTACGGTCTTTTAAAGGGGCTCCTCTGAAGATAGTTCTTCCTTAATATTTCCGAAACGTGTCATGCAAAGGCAGTTCTCTCCCAATTATGATCTGGACAATGACCTTGACGAGGAATGACAAATTGTAAGATCTGTCAGGAGATACTCCAGAGCGAATGGCGATACCAACATCGGTACTAGCATCGGTGACTCCTTTTAAGAAGATTCTTCTACGGACGACTCTTCAGATGAATCTCAGCATAGCACATCAACGGAATCCTCTGAGATTCCGTTTTGCACGCCAGCAGATCTCCAAGGCCACATTAAGGACCTAAAGGTGCGTAAAGCACCTGGAGAGGATTAAATCACCAACAAAGCACTGAAGTTGCTTTCACTCAAGGCTTTGACTTATCTGGTGACAATAATCAATGCAATGCTCAGAACTCATTACTTTCCTAAGGCGTGGAAGGTCGCTGAAGTCATCATGATCGCAAAGAAGGCAGGTTCGATATTCCCCCAGGATTATCATCCCATTAGTCTGCTGTCAGCTCCTTCCAAGCTCGCTGAAAAGGTGATTTATCATCACCTTGAGAATTTCTCGTCAGATCACCATGTGATTCCTGACGTGCAATTCGGCTTTCGGTGTGAGCATAGTACGGAGCTACAGGCAGTTAGACTGGTGGAGCATGCAACCAGGGGGTTCACCCTGAACAAAAGTACTGGTATCTTGCTTTTAGATATATCACAGGCATTTGACAAGGTGTGGCACATGGGCCTCTTGTATAACCTCAACCAAAAAGGGTTTTCCATTTTGGCTACTAAAACTGTTGAACTTTTTTCAGGAAGGACGTTTCTAACCAAAATTAACAATGTGTTGTCAATAACACGGCCCGTAAGAGCCGGTGTTCCTCAGGGTTCGGTCTTAGGACCAATCCTTTATTCACTTTATATACATGACGTCCCTTGCCCCAGCAACTGTGAAGTCTATCTCTATGCTGACGACACTGCATTGCTAGCCCGGTCTTGTTCTGGTAACCTGGTTCACGACAGGCTGCAGAGTGTGGTGGAGGAAGTATTGGAGTGGGCGGATCGGTGGTTGATCAAAATTAGTACTTCAAAAACGCAGGCAATCTATTGTACTAGAAAACATCGCGGTGCCCCCCTCAGAGATATCAGTGAATGGAACTCGTATACCATGGAAGCAATCTTGGAGTCATCATTGACAAGGGGTTGACCTGGCAGAAACATACTGATATTTTGAAAACAAAATTCCAAATTACCTTTCGGCAGCTTTATACTTTGTTGTGCAGAAATTCAAAATTAAGTTTGATCAACAAGATTGGGTCGTATAAAATGGTCATAAGACCCGCAATCACCTCTCACGATGTGCCGAAGACAGCTGACACAATGCTGGCCCTATATGCAGACGACACTGCTATAGCCGCCAAGCATCGACGTCCCGAGATCATCCATAGGAGACTACAGGATGAACTGGACCACATCCGGGACTGGTGCGTGAAATGGAAAATCCGCATCAACGTCCAGAAGACGCAGGCAATATTCATTCAACGAAGAAGGATTGCAAGACCTCTCGAAGCATCCATCTTCGACGAAGATATCCAGTGGAGCGACAATGTCAAATATCTGGGGATCGTATTTGACAAGTCCCTCACCTGGAAAGCGCACATAGAAGCTGTCATCGCAAAGACCAGAGCAGCCATGGCTCAACTCTATCCATTACTGGGTAGACACAGCCAGATGCCGCTAGCGACCAAGCTACGGCTGATCAAGGCCATCGCCAGACCTCAGCTCGCTTACGCCTCCGCGGTCTGGGGGTACGCTGCCCCCAGCTACCGCAAGCGACTTGCTGCTCTAGAGATGAAGCTACTCCGGATCGCCACCAATGCACCATACTACGTAAGGAACTCAACCTTGCGTAGAGACCTGCATTGGGATACCATCCACGAGTACACGAGGAAAAAAGCGGAGAAGACATTCGAGAAAGCTCAGGACCATCCGAACGAGCAGCTACGATTCCTCATAGACTACGATCCGGACGAGAGGCCTCGCAACCGCAGAGCCAGGTACCCCAGACCAAGGTCCCAGCTGGCACCCGCTAACTGGAACCTTGACTAGGAGACTAGAAGAACTCGCGGTTGCTCCCCCCCCCACCCCACGGCGTGGATGCAGAGGACCAGGAACCACCGGGACCAGGACCCACCGGGACCAGGACCAACCAGGACCAGGACCCGCCACGACCAGGACCCACCAGGACCAGGACCCTTCAGGACCAGGACCAGGAACAACATATTGGTAAGAGGACTTGAAACTCTTGATTTTTCGAAAACAAGAGTTTCAAGAGAACCTAGCAGACCCTCTATCGATGATCGCTTAACGACATCGATAGAATGTGCGAGGTAAAGGGAACCAACCCGGCGTTCCCAGAGACTGAAACACATGAGGAGACGTTGTAGCAGACCGCAGGTCACGCACAACACATGGCCTACCGAGACGCTGATGAGTCGGGCCACGCGGAGGTTTAGGGTTTAGTGGGTATTAGGTGATCTCCTCAAGACCCTGGAGTCCCACACACGTCGTAGCTCGGGCTATGGTATGGTGCGTAAATGCATTCCCCCTCACAAAAAAAAACAAAAATAAAAAATCACCTACGCATGAGCGGCTTGGTGTTTTCTTGCCAAGACGCACATGCAGAGACTGGGTACGTGTTAAATGAGACTATTCACAGAGATCTTGATATCCCATATCTAAGGGATTACGTAAAACAACAACAGGCGTGATTCAGTAGACTACACAGTCGAGCAAGTTCACAAACATTCCAGGCCGCGCCTTGCACTGTGATCAAAATTAAATTGTAAATTCAGACAAGCCAAAATTATTTCAGTATACAAAACCGATCAAAATTATTTTTTGGAGTTACAAAATAATTCGAGTAGTCAAAGCAATAATGCTTAAGCTATTTCAAATGATTTACTTCTTTTCTTTTCTCTATTTCTTCCTGCCTTTCTTTCATTATTTCCCTCTTACCCTTAAACATGTGTATCTGGGTAGCCAGACCTGACAGACTAACAGACCGACGAGACTTTTAACTAAGAGCAAAGGTCCACCGGACCGCTCTAACGAATAATGGCGAACAGTATATCATAGTAAATGTGACACCACCCCTTACAGCATCTTTGGCGGTTCTTCTTTTGATTATTTTTTGCATTATCCACCTTTCCTGTACTGTATCGCGGTCGGGTCACACACAAGCTCCGTCGATGACCGGTCGTGGTGCGGCAGAGGTGACATTCCACCATTCGGGCCTACCGTTCGCTGAACTGTCGTTAAAACGTCCAACAGCCACCGGATTTTTTCAGCGAAGAAACGATGAAGAACATGCCGATGAAGGCGAAGACCAAGACCCCGACGGTGCCGTGGATCCCACAGCGTGTGAGACCCGCCGAGGCCTGGGATCGGCAAATGCAAATCGGCCGCGGTGGTCTGATGCTTGCAGAAAAACGATCTTGCCTTCCTTACACGGTGGAACACGGCAAGCAACAAAGGAGGCTTCCAAATGCAAGAAGAAATAAAGCTCTCTTGCACTGCCGTCCTTTGTGCGTCCTAACTATGTTTTTTAAATTTTTAGCCTATAGGTATGCATATACCAGTTATTCTATGCATTATTTATCTATTTTCCCAAGTAATAATGTCCTAACTGCACTGTGTCCCTACAATATTTACGTGATCAAATGAACTTACCTGTAAGTGATGTTCGATCTTAATTATGTGAAGTCCGCGTCGAAGTAAATATTTAGAATACATGTCGTAGTAACCTCGTAGTAGTACCCAACCGCCACGATTTCAAAGCGCGCACGCAGAGAAAGAAAGCGGCACCGCGCCCCTTCATTTACTTCAAAGCCAAGTTGTTGCAACAATTGGGTGATATATAGGGAGCGAGGGAGCTATTTACCTCGACGAGGACTTCACGTAATGAAGATCGAACATCACTTACAGGTAAGTTTGTTTGATCATGTGATTATGTTCCGTCCTCGTCGAAGCAAATATTTAGAATACAGCTACATATCGTAGATGTTCAAAGCTAGTTGCAACAACATACGACTAACGCTCTGTAATAGTACATTTCCATTGTAACAATTCAAGTTAAGGCTTTTAGTAACAGGTAATATGACGTACCTGGTTTAAAAATTACCATCCATTTCATGGTAATGAACAAATAACGTAATATCATAGTTATGTTTAAGGTGTTGAGACTTGGTTCACCTCAAATGCCGCTTGAGCAAAGCTATTGTTTGGCATTTGTGACGTATCTCAGAAACTTAATCCAGCCTCTGCCGCGAACCTGATACTACTATAATTTAGCGGCGCAGATTTAGACGCATTTCTTGTACTGTGAGTTGTCAATTGTGACACTCTCTGCTAAAACCGACTTTATCCATCTGGGAGCCGAGGCACCATGATAAAGTTACTGTACAGTGACAAATAAATGCTTTGCACAGATATTTGGACGTAAAATACGGTAAAACTTAAGTGGTTGCCACGTGAGTGACCCAGAACTCAGAAATCCCAATTTCAGTATTATTCAACCCAATCCGGATGTTGTCTGTTTCAATTAGTTTGCACACTCTGACCTGACGTTAGAGCTAGCAGTCTTGCTGATTTCCTCATTCAAATATCTACCCACTTACCTTAACCCCCTACTGAGCGAGGGCCGTGGCAAATGCTTGTTTCGGAAGTCGTTGTATCCAGTATACAACTTCTTCCCGTCCAAGTGATTGCGCACGCGTTAAGGAATACCTCAGTACCGATTGCCGGGTGGCGGTACAAGTCCGCCAACGGGCCACTTAAGGTCTATTTAACATCACTAACACGTAAAAAGAAGGTGGTAGACAAGGACCAGTCGACCGAGGCAGTACCACCCGCTAACTTTTCCCAGGGTGTCTTTTAAATGTCCGGATGTTTCCACACCTAAGCTATGCAGTCGGTTATCTACCAAAACAAAGAAATGAATGATGATGGATCCCTCGAGCACTAAAAACTCCGGACGTAAACTCACTCCACTCTCGGAATGTCCGGGTGGAGGGTGGGCTCGAGGGAACAACATCGAAGATAAAATTTGTTTTTCGAACATCTGCGGGATCAACAGCAACATTGATGCTGTTCATCACTACCTGCAATCCAATCGTCCCGCCGTGCTTTTCTTGGCGGAGACAAAAATCTCAGAGACTGCACCGATCAACCATCTCTGCACCTCTCTCTTCCCAAACTACGAGGTGCACTCCAATCTGAGAAAGAACGGGGGAGTTGTGGCTTTTGTCCGCAGCAGTCTTTCCTGCTCCAGGGATCTTTCTTTGGAATCAGACCGGAAGGACATTCTGTGGCTTCGCCTCAACTCCAAAACATCACCCAAATTTATTTGCTGCCTTTATCGCTCTCCCTCGAACCATAACTGGGATGACCTACTCGAATACCTCGCCGTCCAGATCGACTTCCTGAACATCAATCACCCCGCTTCAGAGGTAGTTCTTCTCGGTGATTTCAATGCCCATAATGAGCTTTGGTTGGGCTCAAATAAGACCGATGCAGCAGGTCGTGCAGTCGAAGCGTTCGCTCTTACTCAAGGGCTGACCCAGCTGGTGACGAGCCCTACTTTTTTCCCCCGCGTCTCGTCACACGCCAGTAGCCTGCTGGATCTCTTTCTGACCACGCATCCTGCCCCTTACAGCACTGCTGTCCTGTCCCCCCCTGGGTAACTCAGATCACGGTGTTGTGGAGGTTAGGTTTCGGCCAGAAGCCGCTGTGGCAGCAGAAACTCGCACAGGCCGCAAAACTTGGCATTACGGACATGCCGACTGGGAGGGGCTCAGAGACTTCTTCTCTAGCTTTCCTTGGAGAGATGTCTGTTTCACTGACGCGGATGCGTCGACTGTCTGTTCTTCAATAACCGAAATTATCCACGTCGGAATGGAGGAATACATCCCTCACACAGCGAAAGTTCCTAAACCAGGGTCCAACGGCTGGTTCAACAAATCGTGTGACACTGCTCGCCAGCAGAAGATCAAGGCCCACAGAACCTACTTACAAAACCCCACTGTAGAGAACAGACAAGCCGACGTCGAGTCCAGAAACAAATATAACGAAGCGGTTCGCAATGCCAAAACCCAGCATGATATAAAAGTTAGGCACAGGGTAATGTCGCAGCTCAATGGCAGTCGGTCTTTCTGGACGCTGGCCAAGCAGATTGAAAAGAACTTCTCACACAGTAGTCTTCCACCACTTACGTGTCAGGATGGAACTATTGTATTCGACTCAAAGGCCAAGGCGGAAGTGCTAGCCAAGATCTTTGCTGCCAACTCCACCATGGACGTCCCTACCAACGCCCAAGTGCCGTCAATTCAAAGGGTTCCCCACACTATGCGGGAGGTAACATTCAGGCATAAGACCGTAAGACGAGTGCTCTTGTCGCTCGACATCAACAAAGCTTCTGGTCCGGACTTGATTCCTGCCATTGTACTGAAGCGATGTGCAGCTGAGCTTGCTCCAGTTCTTTCGCATCTCTTACAGATATCTTATGAATCCGGCACCTTCCCAGAAAACTGGAAATTTGCTCATGTACAGCCCATCCCAAAAAAAGGATCTAAAACCGACCCTTACAACTACAGCCCTATAGCTCTGCTTTCTGTTATAAGTAAAGTGATGGAGAGGTGCATAAATCGCGAGCTTCTGGACTACCTCGAACGTCACAGCTTGATTAGCGACAGGCAGTACGGTTTCCGGCACCAACGATCCACAGGGGACCTCCTAGCTTACGTCACGCAACTGTGGAGTAAACTCATCCAGTCTCATGGTGAGGCTAATGTCGTTGCTCTTGACATCACGAAAGCTGTGGCACGCTGCCCTCTTGAGCAAACTTCCATCCTACGGCCTCCCAGAAAAGCTTTGCAGATGGGTGGCTGACTTTATCTCTGGCCGCAAGATATCCGTCGTAATTGACGGATTCTCCTCTTCATCCCACAACGTCAACGCGGGTGTTCCCCAGGGATCGGTCTTGGCTCCAACACTGTTTCTCTTACATATCAACGACCTCCTTTCCTGCACGATCAACCCAATCCACAGCTTCGCTGATGACAGCACTCTACATGCAGGAATTCAGAGTGACAAGCCGATCTCTGCCGCTGAGCTGGAAAAAAGAAGACTAGCGACGACTTCTTCTCTGACAAGAGACCTGGAGGCTATCACTGCTTGGGGACGCAACAATCTTGTACAGTTCAATGCTTCCAAAACACAGTACTGTACTTTGACGAACAAAAAGCGTCCTAGCGCTCATACAGTTTCGATGGACGATCGAGTTCTACCAAAGAGCCATTCATTTCGGCTGGTCGGAGTCCAGATCACCGAGGACCTGATCTGGCACGAACACATCTCTTCAATAGCTGCAGCTGCTGGGAAAAAGCTAGGCTATTTGTTTAGGGCTAAGAAGTACTTTTCTCTGCATGACCTTCTCACTCTATACAAGGCCCAGATAAGGCCTAGCCTCGAGTATTGCTCACACATTTGGGGTGCTGCCGCCCCGACTACATTGTCCATGCTCGATGCTGTCCAGAGGAGGGCGGTCCGACTGATCGATGACTCTTCTCTAACAGACAGTCTCGGAACTCTTTCGCACCGGCGGGCCGTCGGCGATCTGGCTCTTTTCTATCGCTACACCAACGGACTTTGCTCCTCAGAGCTCTCTTCCATGATGCCGCCGCGCGATGTGCCTGCCAGACAGACCCGTCTGACTTCGGCGTCCCATCCTAACCGTGTCAAACTTCGTACATCCAGAACTGGCCGATACGACCGCTCCTTTGTCCCGAGGGTGTCTAGATTGTGGAACAATCTACGGGAGGAAGCTTTTCGCAGTTCTACTAACCTTGGGCAGTTCAAAAATCGTATTAACAAAATTTCTTTGGGATCATCATAGCAGCCGCGGTGTTCCGGCATTTAGGCTTCTGCCTGCGCGGCTGTTTCGATATAAAAAAAAGGAACCCCTTTGGTTGGTTGAGAACAACCACAGTATCTATATTTCAGTTGAGATCGCCTCAGCCTGTAAATGTTATGTCTGCAGCGTTAGTAACATTTTGGGTAAAATACTGATATCTCAAACAATTATATCTTGATCTCTTATCACCTGTAAGGTAAGAAATTTTAAGGTAGGAAGGCAGACATGTATTTCTTCTCGTCAAACGTCCTACTGTAATCTAAGCCCACAATACATGATGAATTATCGATGTTAATTGGAATGAGTGATGTGATGATAACCAGGGTAAGCTTCAGAATTAGTGGGAGCGGCATCCTGGGTCCCTCCATCAGATCCTTGCGTTACTTCTAGAAGTGAAATTTCAGAAACACCGAATACTTGAGCCAAAATCAGGACGGTGACAGGTGCAGCCCCCACTCCGTTTTACTCCTAGATTTTATATTTGACATGAGGGCAGTAATATTTCTCTCTTTTCACAATTGCCGTAGTTTTCCCGCAACCTGGTTCGACAGCCCACGAATTCGGTAGTAAAGCATCCACCACAGAAGAAAA